TATTATACTACTACTACTAGAAGATATAATAATAGTAGTAGTAGTAGTTCTCTATATATATATATATATATATATATATATATATATATTCCCCACTTAATCGTTTTAAAAACTTTAATATTGAGTTAGAAGTTGAAAGGTTTATTTTTGTGCTTGTTATTAGGAGGTGAAAGTTTTAGTTTTAAGCACATTTTAGTATTAGCATTAAGCCTTTTGCGGACTTGCAAAGTTTGAGTAGTGATAAGAGAAAGACTTTAAATTTAAAAACGTAAAAAAGTAAAAAAAAAAAGAATGTCGAGTATTACAGTTCAAGCAGATGATCATCATAAGATGAGTTTAAAAGCAGAAGTTCAAAGTTCACCAGAAATTAGATTTAAATGCAGATTATCTAGGTGAGTTAATTTAAAAGAAGTACAAGTGTACATAAGATTATGTCGAATGTACAAGTGTAAGGTTTTTTAATTTAACGTCACAAACGTGAAAAACGTATGTGATAAACATTAAATGTAAATATAAGTCGAAAGCAGATGTTTAAATATTAGTATTTTAATTCTCTAGAGACTTATGGTAAATACAGAAGGTCAAACAGAAATGAAGATAAAAGTAAAGGACAAACTGAAATTATATCAGATAAAGTGGAAACCGAGTGCAAGAAAGATATAAATTTGGCAGAACAAACTGAACTTGAGTCATTTCAAAGGAAGAAAGTAAGCACGAGGAAAATTTGAAGGTCATATTTGAAAAGACTTAATAGTAGAATAAGAAGCGTGTTTGGAATTCAATGAAAGTTGAACTTTCCAGTGAAGATGGATTAAAGTTAAATGCAGATCAAACAAAGTATAAATTGTAAATAGAAAATCAACGTAATTTAAACATAGAAGGGAAAAAAGTCATTATAAGCTAAAGTTAGAAACAAAAAGGCCAAAGTGAATTAAAACTGATAGTAATAGATCTTCAAATGTTAACATCAGAGGCGTCGCAAACGGGGCCCGTGCTCCGATTCTCTTTGACAGTTCCCCGAATCCCCAGTTTTGTCTTGAAAAATCAGAATGGAATACAATGATCAATATCATACAGAAATGCCGGGACCCGGCATGGCCAGGTGGTTAGGGCGCTCGACTCGCAATCTGAGGGTCGCGGGTTCGAATCCCCATCCCACCAAACATGCTCGCCCTTTCAACCGTGGGGGCGTTATAATGTGACGGTCAATCCCTCTATTCGTTGGTAACAGAGTAGCCCAGGAGTTGGCGATGGGTGGTGATGACTAGCTGCCTGCCCTCTAGTCTTACACTGCTAAATTAGGGACGGTTTACGCAGATAGCTTTTGTCTAGCTTTGCGCGAAATTCAAAACAAACGAAACCAGAAACGCCGGAAATTCCTGAGCCTAGTGACGCCTCTGATTAACATTAAAAAAGTAGATCAAAGTTAACAGTATATTGTCAAACACATTGTGTTAAACACTTCCTTGTGTTATATTGATTGTTAGTTAAAAATTCAAGCTCTGGAATTCAGTGAAGTATTAATCCAGTACGCTAACTATTATGTCAATGAGTTAAAGATTAATTCTAAAGAGTCAATGCTTTAACAGTTAAAATAAAAAGTAACCATACTATAAGAAATATTTAAAAGAATAAAACCAGAGTTAAGAAAACTAGAAGAAGAAGGAGAAGAGCTAAAGTAGAAGACATAAGTGGAAAATAATTATACTACAGAAGAGAAGTTAATATGTACTGAAAAAATAACTTTGCGGCGATTCAAAGTTTGCAGTAAAAGTTTAACGAAAGTTAAGAGTAAATAAAGTTAAGTTTAGAAAAAAAAACTTTGTGTACAAGAATTATGAGTACAAAAAATTGAAAACAAATACATAAAAATAACAAAAGAAGTTTATTTCAAATTGGTATTAAAATTAAGCTAGAGATAAACCTGAAAATAGAGGTCAATGTGTTACCAATTTTAGATCAAAATTCCAATAAGGGCTAATATTTAAAGCAGGAGTTCAACGCAAGTTGACTTTCGAAAGAAAAAAAAACATCGTTAAATAAAATATAAAACAAATAATCAACCTTTCTTAAAACTGAAGGTGGAAGATTCGTACTAAACTAAATTAAAAGTAAAAAAAAAACCATGTGCAGTAAAAATCAACAACAAAAGATCGACTCCTGTTAATATTGGAAAAGGTAAAACATACCCGTAGTTTTAAATATACAGGATAAATAAAAAAAAAAATAGAATTTTATAACCTTCAAAGAGGTATCGTGAAAAAGTAAGGAAACAAGGATGAAGATAATATTTACTCAAACTACAAACCTCTATTTTGGCTCCATTCTGTTGCCTAGAGTTACATTTGGTGGAACCAAAACAGGGATTTGTATTTTAGGTAAATAATGTCTACAGTATCTCCAACCTTGTTTACTTACTTTATTATGATCCCTATTTGCAGGTTTTAAATTTTTTTTATTTATCTTGTTTGCTGCCTTTTTTATGCTCAACTGTTGGCAAAGGATTACTTGATATGGTAGCTAACTTTATACATTATAATGATAATAAACATAGCTAGTAGTTAGCTGAAACGGTCATGATGATTTACTGTAGCTATTGGCTAGTTGATCACATTAGTTCGATATGTAAAATGTAAACATGCAGATGGAGATTGTCATGGATATTAGTTTGAGAATATAGTGAGCATTTATAGTTTCTGTGTGATTAAATTATCTCTATATAATGCATATCAATAGGCAAATATATGCCTAGACTAAGGCACAACTCCCGCTAAGCTCGTACAAATTTTTACCAATTGAAAAGCAGCATTTAAAATAAAACATACACGCCTAAGCGTCGCTTTAAATAAATTTTGTATCTGTTAAAGTAATTATTTTACAAATGTGTGTAATAAGAATTAATATTATCTGTATTCATTGTTATTTTACTCCTTCATACATAATATACGAGTTGGCTCCCTATAAACACCGATTGTATAGTGTACAAAGCATTGAGTATCTGCATGTTACAGTCATCTGATGATCATTTATTTTTCGCTGGTAATTCCTGTTTCACCCTTTACTTAAGCTTTTTAAAGGAACACTAGATATTTGTAAAAAAGCTAACTTCATGGAGTAATAATAACATCGTTTACATTAGAAATATGATGTTTTTAGTTTATGAAAAATATAGAAGAAACAAATCAACCTTTCAATACTCCACGACCTTCGCAGTTCCTTATTTAGTATCCTACAAAAGATTTGGGTACAATATACCAAGCCGTTTTTGTTGTAGGTTGGCAAGAGAATAACAATAAGAAGAATTAATAACGAGCCGTTTTGAGCTGATTTTCTTTTACTTGTAAGTCTAACATACGTATTTTTTGTGCATTAATATATGTGTACAGCCTTAGCTGCCAATAGTAAAGGTTTTAAAGTGTTATTTGAACTGAATATTTACTGTTTAAGGTGCTTTTTGCCCGAACGTTCTATTAGGGTTTTGTGCAATTCCTTGCAATCCCTATTATGAACCACTATCGTAGTTCACGTAAGGGAATTTATATCATTTTGAATAGCTATAATGCATTTATGTAAATTTAAATATATATAATTTTAACTAGAAGTAAGGTAGATAGATATGAGAACAAATGGTAGCTGTAACACTTATTGTTCATCCAATAAATACACTTTTATGGACAGTTATAAGTATTATGAATGTTACCTCTTACCTTATGTAGGTTATAGTAAAGCCCACATGCATTACAAACAACATTCCCTTCCTTATCGCGTCTCCATAAAGTGGTAGTGATCGTTTGACAGTTGGAACATAGCTGGTCACTCTGTCGTCCACAGGATGACTGTTGTTGAATATAACAAACCTCCATTAAACACACAATCACTGGTAACTGTTATAAATGTGAGATCATAATTAAAAACAATAATTTAATTAAATACATTGCAGTTAAAGTTGGTATTGTATGATTTTTTTTTTGAAAACTCAAACGTTTTATTTAAAAACAACGATTATTTTATACACAATTCAATAAAATGCGATTGTTTCCAGTCTCCAAATTATTAGGGATAAAAATATTGAGTTAAAACCAATTGTTGAAAAAAGTAAGAAAGAATGTTTAGTACTATCATATATACCTGGTTTATCTTGTCAAATAATGAAAAAATATAAAAAAAACAAATAAATAATTTTCAGATATACAAACCGAAAAACAAAGTCAGCGAAATTCTTAATACAACTAAAGATAAAATTGAATTAATGGAAAAATTTGGCATATATAAA